TCTAAAAACAGCAGTCAGATAAAAGAAATTTGAGTCTGGGGCAGAAATGTAAGTTGAGAAAACATCTCAGAGATGAATGTCCCTAGTTGAAGATTGAAGATAAAAGGCGAGAGGAGGAAGTTGCAAACCTGCAAGATTCTGCCATGGTAACTTTATAATAAAAGTAGCATGAGCAGACATAACTCTGGCGTCCTTGTCTGATCTACCTTAAAGGGCTGAGAAAAAGACAGCAGAACTACAAATCTCCTCCTCCACCTCTAGGTCTCATTTAGCTGTGGATGATGCTGGTTGTAGGCTGGTAAATCCTGGGCAGTTGTAATCTAGAGAAGGCCTGTAGAGCAGTGTTTTTCAGTTTTGGCCACTTTGATGTGTGGACTTCAACTCCCAGAATTCCCTAGCCAGTATGACCACTGGAACTCTGGGAGTTGAAGTCCACATGTCTTAAAGTGGCCGAAGTTGAGAAACATTGCTATAGCATGCGAATGATAATAACAATATACCAATAACCGGGTTTGCAGTCCAGTTTGGGCAAAGTATTTTGGATTTAAACAGATGTTGGACCAAATCCTCACTTAGCTTTTCGCTAAAATCCTTCTGAGCACAGTACAGTTTGTTTCAGAGTTAGTAGGCCAAAGACTTAGCTTACATCTTCAAAACAAAGTTCATTAAATGTGACGACGTTGACTTCTTTACACAATAAATAAGTTGTCTGCAAAGGACAGAAACCAGGCTGCCGATTGAAACTTTAATGTGGTCAGTTTTTGAGGGCTTCATTTCTGCCTCTTCTGTTCTTATTTTCCAGGAAAATGTCAGTTTAAATAAACTCGGGGTTAGCTTTGCATCATAATCAGCGGGCGGCTATTGTGGTGAAATACCCATCTATATATATTTTTTAAAAAGAAAGAGAACGTCCCCAATAGTTGAATTTTGGCTTAGTTGTGTTATCTGTTCAGTTACAAGCAATCGATCCTGACAGTTACGTGGTTTCAAGGCTCCCTTATTGAGAAGTTGAACTAAACAAAATGGGCCCGAATCTATTTTTAAACTCTTGAGAGCTCTGTTGCTTTAATATGTTTAGTTAACAAAAGTCTGTATGGGTATTATAGCAGGTCATTCTGGTTTGTTTTGCTTGGCATGTGACTCCGCGTCGGCCAGTTAAACAGTAATCTCCGTTTGCGAATTAAACCCTCCTCTACATAACGGCAATAAAATTATTAAGCGCCGACCAATCTCGCTCCAGGATTCTTTGTGTCTTGCGGTGACTTTCGCATCACAAAGAAAGATTTTGCATCCCCGTCCGGTCCAATAAAATGAAAACCAGAAGAAAACAAAGCTTTCATAGAGGACTAGTTACTTTCCCCAGAGTTTTTCCTGTTATGATGCAGAGCTCTTCAGGACCAAATGAAAAACAATGACTTTGTGTGAAGACTAGGTTACCTAGTAGAGTCGACAAAGTTCTTTTAAAGGATTAGCCCCAACACATTTTTGTTTGGGATGCTAATTTTATAAAGGGTGCATTGTTTTGCCACCGAAACAATGAAGCAGCAAAATTAATTGCAACTTTTTTGAGGCGAGGGCCTTTTGTGGCTAAGTATAACAGTCCCTGAGAACATTTATTGGTAGTTCGTATAAAAGTTCTCATCCTTTAAATCAACATTTTGTCAATACAGACCCAGGTGAGATTTTAAATTTATGCAATATCGCTGATTCATCCTGTGTGAAATAGATTCTTAGAAGGTCAAATTCTGAGGTGAAATACTAGTTTGCACTTTTATTAAGCGCTTCAATTTGCTGCTTCTGCTGGTTAAACCAGTATTGCAAAATTTTTAAAAAATGGATAACTGATCTGATGTCATGGAAAGCACTTTTGTGTGATTAATCCAGCTTCTGTTGGTTTATATGAGCGATTCTACTGTGGAATGCTGTGTGGAAATAATCTTATATCCCCAACCTGTGTCAGAGTCTTTTTTAGCAGGCACACTAACTTGGTTGATTTTAATCCAAGCATATGTCAAGGCAGCCTATTTTCCTTTCTTC